TTTTTGTAATTATAATTTTACAGTGCTGAGCATAATCTCGTATCTATTTACAATTTAAAAACTTCTTGAAAAAGTTTTTTGCAGTAACCGGCTTTTTTTTTTTTTTCAAGTTGCAGTTAACGTTGCACGAATGTTTTGCGTGAACCTTTTAGTGAAAGAGATCGATTGAAAGAGATGAAACAGTTGCATGTCATTTAAGTCTAGAGAACTACACGCCCTTTTTCTGTCAACTTCTCCTCTAGGGTATAATGGATAGAGACATTTTATGCTTTGAATACAAGAGCAACACTGACAATTACAAAATAGACATGTTTGGCTACTGATCATAATAATGTTTTTTATTTGATTTAATATCGTAAACTGAACAATGTTATCATTGGGACAACATTTATGGACTATTCTATTTTTTCTTCCTTTATTTATCATTATTGTTTTTCTGCATTCAAACAAGGAAAAGCGCTGTCATTTACAATGCAGGCAAAGTATGACTACTGTTCATAATGCAGTTTATTTGATTTAATACAAAACTGGTGCAATGTAGTTATTTGAACAACATTGTCAAATATTCTATGCTTTAATTCGTTTTTTTTTTCTTCCTTTTTGTTTGTTATTTTTCTTCTTTTTTTTTTGCGTAAGATACAAAAATAATGATCTCATTTACAATACAACTAATCAAAATTTTGCATTTTTTCTCGAGTTGACGACATTTACCGATTTTTTTAATTTTATGCTTATTTTAATTTCTTAAATGTATTATTATCATTAGTACTTTATTAATAAAGCTTTCATTTACAATATAGACTTAAAGTGTTCCTATTTATCAGAATGATATATTTGATTTGATTTGATATCACACTGAACAATGTTATTATTTAAATAACATTTATTAACTATTCTATTTTTATGGTTTTAATTTTTCTTTGATTTGTCATTATTTGTATTACTTTTAGGCATTAGAACAATACCGTCATTTACAATAGAAAAAAAAGCGTAACTGCTAAACAAAATTATTTATTTCTTTAGTTTCAATATCAGGTTGCATAGCATTGAAATTAAAATAACATTTATCATTTTTTATTGAACCTTAATATTGTGTTTTCCGGATACATAATTTAATGAAAAAAAATCTCTCAGGAAAAAAAATCTGCTCCTTGTAGGAATTAATATAACAGTCAGTTATAATAAATCAAACATAATTCTTTCATCAAAAATCATAAATTTCCGACTTATTTGTGACAGCGCTTTTCGCTATAGGAATAATATTATAGGCATTGCTTCATCTCCTTTAAGCTCTAGTAAAGGTAAGATGTTTTTATTGCATCATATGCTTTTGTAAATGAAAAAAGAATGATTTTAATTCTATCTATCTCATTATGTTTATTCAGAAGTCATGTTTAATTTTTATAATTGATTTATTTTTAATTTTAAAGCATCCAACCCGAATGTAATTATTACAAATAAATATTAATTACAATTTCGCGTTCGACTAATTATTTCAGATTTGATGTATGATTGATTTCGAAAACATGACTATATTATATTTTGGAAGCAATTATAGTTTCCCGATTATTAGAGTTAGTTCATGTTTAAAATTTGTAAAAAACAAGGCTATTCAAAATCGCAGCAGTTTATGTTTATTTTTATAATCTGTGTCAAAAGTGACGTCAGAACCATGCAAAGAATTTAGCGCTTACCTCCTTATGAGGTGTCCGTGGTTCGAATTTCAACGTCGGTTCAAATTCTGCTTCCATTCCGCACCGACCACAATGCTGGCCTAAAATATTCACAGTAGTAGACGGATGATGGAATAGAATCTTTTTGCCTTCGGTGAGTTTTCATGGTTTTCCTCTCAATGTAACGCAAACGCAAGTTGGCTACATCAAGGCTAGTTTGTCTCAATCGTTCATCCAAGAGTTCGCTCGTCTTTTGGGTTTAGTTCAAAATTAGATTTTAACGGGGTTTAAAAGTAATAGCCAAAAATGAGTCGGATGTTCAACAATACTAGTGACAACGTTCAAATCTGATATACACATCTTATTACTTTTCAGAAAATCAAATATATGATAATTATGCAACAAAGTAAACTGTTGATTATTCAAATAGATAAGACCCTTTCGAAACGTATATGATTTTTATACTTAATTGTTGAAAGGAACGTGAATCTTTCTGAAATCTATATATATATATTTCTCTTACACGGCTACAAAAAAAAGCTTCATTACAACTCCCCGAATGGCAACGCTAAAAAATCGACCAAAGATTGCCGCTAAAAATGTCACATGCAAAATATAGCGCTTTTAAAAACGGAAACTGAAATAACCGTAAGCTAGGCGTGTATTTGCATTGTACCTAAGTTAGTAGCAAGCGAAGCGAGCTTGGTTTGCGAAACAAACCATATAAGATAGCGAAGCAATTTTCGGGGGTTGGCGAGCGTTAGCGAGAAGGCGCAGCCCACTAGTATTTATTTAAAGCTTAACTTCAAATGCAAGTCTCTTATGTTTAATTTGTCCAAATCTGATACTACTCTTAGTATTACTTAACAGAAAATCAAACTTGTATTACAAATGATAACAATGCAATAAAATAAGCTGTTGATTATTCAAACAGATAAGACCCATTCGAAACGCATGTGATTTTTATATCTAATTGTTAAAATGCACGTGAATCTTTTCTGTACTATTTATTTAAAGCTTAACTTCAAATGCAAGTGCTTTTCTTATGTTAAGTTCGTTCAAATCTGATACTACTCTTAGTATTACTTTACAGAAAATCAAACTTGTAGTACAAATGATAACAATGCACTAAAATAAGCTGTTGATTATTCAAACAGATAAGACCCATTCGAAACGCATATTATTTCTTATACCTAATTGCTGAAAGGCACATAAATCTTTTCTATTCCATTAACTATGTGTAAAAAGTAACAAAACATACCCGAAAACATATCAGTTTATCTTATAGATCCATCTCAAAGTTCTCCTAGCGTGACTGGTGCCGATAATTTCAGTCCTTTTATTGGAATGTGTTTTTTATGGAAATACGAAGTGATTTGTCCGACCCTATAATTATTTCTCTTAATGCGAATGACATAAATATTTGATTTCAGATCCTTTGGGAGAAATTTCGTTCCAAAGAACGCACGGAAGCGATTTCATAATTAAAGGATGTCTTTCCAATCAGCTGTAGTATTATGTATAAATAGCAAATTATTTTATGAATGAATACCATTCGAACAAATGAATTTTGCTGCATTTTCTCCCAGAAAATGAATGATATTCAGCTGACCAAAGAGAAAATAAGCTGTTTCAAAAGTAAACATTATAACAAAAGTAAATACCAAGGTAATACAATGTTATTATACAAAAGTAGACATGTAGAAAATGGAAATAAAAATAAAGAATAAAAATAAATCAAAAGGAAAATAAAAATATAAAATTATTTATGTAGATCAGGAAAACAAATACGTAAACAATACTTAGTTAATAGCATGAATATTACACTGTTTGAATTTTCCTTCTAAAATTAAGGTAAAATAAGCGGTAGCAGTCTGTCCATCCAAGTAACTGTAAAGTTTACGGTAATGAATATTTTTTTGTCTTAATGGTTTTGGAACCGTTTACAACTAGCATGGTTTCAAAACCATAAAAAAGAAATTTAACTGGACATCGGAGATAGTTCAGCAGATTTATGGTGCTGCCATCTATGTATGAATGAGAGCATCGTATTCTAATAATCCAGGTTACAAATTAGGGAGAATAGCACACAGGACTCTTCTTGCATTGAACCGTTTCAGCGTTTTTTCGAGAAATTTCTAACAGTGTATTCATAATATACTTTGAAAATGGAAATAATTTCTCGGCCTATTTTAAACGATAGTATGAATTATCGCTACATGCATTTTAAGCAATATTTGAACTTACTTGATTTAAAACTTTATTCGCTTCAGAAATAGAAAAATTAGAAATAATTCTATTCTCTACTTCTCCATTTTTTCGTTATTTTAATTGTAACATTATAAGCATTGTTACATAAACGCATAAATTAAACCGCATTTTATTTACTTTTTTTAAAAATTTGATATTAAGAAAGAATTTTTTTTATAGTTTTCTTGTAAAAGTGAAGCTGCAAATGGTTACCTAGGTATGATAACATAACGTTTTATGGCAAATTTTTTTTTAAATTTCTTTACAGGCTTATCGGAAATTTTTTAGGTTCTGTACTTGCAACAGTAATCGTTACAACTAAATTGAAGAACATAAGTTCCAAATAATGCCCCTAGTTTAAACAAAGGTCGGTACTTCCTTAAATATAATCGTAACAGAGGGTATTTCCTGTTTGTTGTTTTTTGAAACTTTTATAGAGACTTGATTTTATAGACTATTATAGGGGCAAAGACGTTTTCCGCATAAATAGTGAATTGAAATTAATGTAATATTACCACTTTTAGTGTACGCTTATAAATACATTTAAATGCGCTACATCCTTTCTGAGATGTTGAATTTAAATCTATTACTGCAAACGCCTCACTTAGTATTTATACATAATTGTTTGCACTATATTTCAAAAAAAAATCATTGTGTCACACCATAGTAATATCATTTTTATCATGATATGTTTATATCTTTGGGCATAATTTTTTATGATTTTTTATAATGCAAAATCGCATATTCCCTTTGAAAAATTTGCTACTTTTCGGTAATTGTTTTCGTTTTATTTTATTTGTTTTTGTTTTATTTTATTTGTTTTTGTTTTATTTTATTTGTTTTTGTTTTATTTTATTCGTTTTTGTTTTATTTTATTCGTTTTTGTTTTATTTTATTTGCTTCTGTTTTATTTTATTGGTTTTTGTTTTATTTAATTTAATTTTTATGCCTTTCAAATAATTTTTATAAAAAAATAAAAAAGTTGATGAAGGTCTTCATTTTTTGCCATGGTCCGGAATAACAAAAAAGTACCAGAAATTCATTACTTTGTTTTTTAAATTTAAATTTTAATTTCAGGTGTGGTTTCAAAATCGCCGAGCAAAGTGGCGGAAAAAAGAGAATACAAAAAAGGGTCCCGGGCGTCCAGCTCACAATGCCCATCCTCAGACTTGTTCTGGAGAGCCGATACCCCCAGCTGAAATAGCGCGAAGAGATCGAGACAGGAAGGAAAAAAAACTTCGGAAGCAATTGGAAAGGCAAGCAAAACGCTTACAGCAGCAGCAAAAAATCGGTAAGTCAAGTTCAATTTTTCAAGTAATAACAGAGAAGTTTTAAAAGGTCTTAAAAAGTAATTCAATCAAACATTTACTAGATATGTTTGAAAAAAGTCAGCGTATCGAGGTTCATTTTACTCAAATTATTTTATTTTCTACAACGCATGAATGGGATTTAAATGTTTTTTTAATGAAACAACACGTTGAAACTAATAGATCTAGCTAACATCCGCCGGATCACAACGTATAAATATTGTAACTAAATATGGCCAAACTCATATCTTTTGTGTCACAAAATATTAATATTTTTATTCAATTTAACCAAACTCATACCCTTAGTATCACAAAATATTGGTACTCAATTTAACCTAAGTTTGGTCAAATTGAGTAATATGACACAAAAGATTTGTATCATACAATATATATATACCGTTACGCAATTTGACCAAACTCAGATCATTTGTGCCATGAAATATGGATGTTACCAAATTTGTCCAAACTTATATCCTTTGTGTTACTAAATTATTACTAAATTTATTGTATCGCAGTTTTGCCAGTTATTTTTAACTACAGTTTTTGGCACTTAAGTTACTGTATGAAACAGTAGAGGGGACAGTTATTTCTTAGTTGAAGGGACCATTAGTAATATTGAGAAAAAAAATATGTTCAAAACTATCTGAATATAGTAAAGTTTACCATGTTTCTGTCTCTATGGGAAAGCAAAAAAAGCACGGAAATTTTTACTGAAGCTCTTTAATAACGATTCTGGTAAAATTGAGAATAAAATAGTTTTATAATGAATCTTAAAATTTGGCAAATAAGGTAAAATTTGGAAGTTTTGTCATGATACATGAGAGAATGGCATAAAAACAATTTATTGGTCAAATTTAGTTTTCAATTTTGTATTTTTACTAAATGTGTGGTAATAAGAATTATAATTTTAAGAACCAAAATTTCCTGTAAACCGCTATCATATGAATGGTTTAAATACCGTACATTTTTAGTTTTATTACCAAAATTATGTTTTTTATGTTTATTCATTTTTTTTACTCTAGAAATGTCTTTATTGTATAGTACAGTAATTCCGCTCGTGTGTGTTTAATATAATCATTTTTTCCTTCATTGTTTTGATTAGAAATTTGTATAGATGACACTGAAGTATTGGTATGTGTGAGCCCGGATAATAAATTTCCTTTCCGTAGATAAAGAGATAAAGAGCACAAAAAACAATCGTTCAACAGAACAATATTGAAATAAGTTATTAACTTCAGCTTATGATTTTTTAAAAATTTTATTTGATCTTAAAATATATTTTTTTATGCAGTAAATGATATACGTTCTGTAAAAAGTGGTATGAAATTTTTTTTAAACATAAATTAAAGACAAAAGCAACACAATTGCAAAAGGCGGAAAAATAAAAAAAGATCTTTGCGAAATGGGGAAAACATTTTTAATAAAAAGTGTTTCTTCATTTCACTGCTCAAATTGCTCACAGGAAGTTAAAACTAATACATAAAGTTTATCATTACACCGAATTTTATTGGGAAAAAAATTTACTTATATTCAAAAAAAAAAAAAATTCTTCTTGAAAATAATGAAAAAGCATTGCGTTGAAAAGGTGAGGAAAATGTTGCCTATTTGATTCTTAACGTTGTACCTAAGCCACACTAACGGGTTATTGACCACAGTCTAGCATTCAATTCATAATGACGATCTGAAGGCAATGTTAGAGTAAGTTCATACAACGCGGAACAAAACTGCCACAATTTAAATTGGAAAGATGATGGTGGTATTTAGCAGCCAGCGTCAGTCCCACTTCTCCCTACTACGCTAGCCATAAAGCACGATCGAAAAAAATGTAATCCGATCAAACAGCCAGCTCTAAGTACTTGGAATCGAGCCCTGCATATCAGACTTTCTCAAGAAAAGACTCCATCCGCCATATCGACAAAGGTGTGAAAAAGTAGTAAAAATTAAACTTTTTTAAAAGTTTTACCGTTAAGTTCTAGTAACAAATAATTGTTCATTGACTAGTTCTAAGAGTTAAAGCAAAAGTACTGAAGGTTAAACCTAAAAAATAATATGTTAGCATGAGAGCACTTCCATTCACTAATGAATGCAATGCAATATTTACAACTTTTTGAAAGTAATTTTTACTGCTTCTGATAAGAGATAAACTGTGACCTTCATCATCTTTTTTTAAAACCAATGGTCACTAAAATGTTATGTAATATGTTTGCTAAGTACTATTGGAATCGTTGAACACAGAAACTTTTAGCAGTTTTGTAATCCAATCAGACACTCAGTGTTTAGCACCGTAAATCGAATCCTTCTCAAAACTCCCTGGGATGACTCGACCCACCATACAGCCTAGGGAATGAAGAGGTTGTGAAACATTAAACTTTTTGCAATTATAATGTAAACTTCGAGTAAAAAGCAATTTTTAAAAAAACAATTATTGAAAGTAAACACAAAAGAACTAAATTAAACATAATAAATTATAAATAAGCATGAGAATTCTTACATTCATTAATCAATGTGCTGCGATAATTAAAGCTTTTTGAAGATAATTTTTACTGCGTCTCATTAACGATAAAATGTGACCTTCATCATCCTTTTAAAACTAACGCTTACTGTAATTTAAATATAGTATAATAGGTTTGCAAAGCACAGTTGGAATTAAAGAACACAGAAACTTTTTAAACAGTTTATTCAGACTCGGAATGAGAAATTACATAACTATCAGATGGAGCATGATTTTTAAACACGTCACATAGCAAATGTTTCATTTGTATCAAGATTCTGCTCAGGCCATAAATAAAATTAACACTTCCCTTTGTTTTTGGAAGTATGGACAGTTAAGAGAGCCATCAGTAATCATAGACGTCATTAATTACAGTCTCCATACCTGTAATCTTTCGTTACTGTAATAACGGAGCCGATGATTTTACAACGTGACCTGCAGAATCAATTTGCCTTCCATTTGTGATTAAGATTTGACTGATACCATTATATTAGACGTTGATTATATTTTTATAATGTGGATATCCAATTAAATGTCCCGATTCATAATGAATGAAGTGGTAATTAATTTAAAATGAGATAATATCAGGTTTTGGATGTCAGCCTATTTCCTTACATTTACTCCATTATTCAAATGATGAAAAATAATATTTCATTTCATGCCGTGTTGTTATTGATATAATTTTTTAATTCATAGATATAATGTATTGATATCATCTATCTATCTATCTATCTATCTATATATATATATATATATA